ACCTACCTAAGTTATTCTATGCATGTTTTATGAATACAAATTTGTTACTTAGACTATTAATGCTAATATTATTTAATGCGTAGGTAGTTAATACTTAATAGTAATAAAAGCACATACTCCTATTATTATATACATTTACAACATGCCACCATAAAAATTAAATTTATATAATCTAAACCCCAAATAATTTTCTCTGTATTACTGTTTAATCATTATAAAGTTTATAATGACAATAAAACAATATTTTTATCGCCACCTATCGCCACCAATTTGTATACTTAATAAGATATTATTTTAATTCATTGTAAACTTATCATATAAGTATTAATGTATTATACTGAAGTAATCTTATTTCATCATTTGTTCACCGTTAAACTCCATTTAAACTCCAACGACATTTACAAGTAATTTAATATTTTTGATACAAACTAATAGCCACTGTAGCTGCGGCTTATTTAAATAAAATTAACAAAAAAAAAAAAAAACAATATTTTTTAATTTTTTTATATAATTAATGTTAATAGATGATTTTTAGTATGTGTTTATAGTATTTTCCTAACTTTTATTTCTTATTTCTTATATATTTATATATAATACATACCTTACCGATATACAACAATTTTTTTTTTTTTTTAATGAATGTTCATTTTCGGTCCCCTACACAGTGAGTAGTGACGATATGTTAATGTATCCATACCCGGCATATCCAGAACGTATTTCCCATTATTTACACTATATAAATGTATAATAGTATATCGTATACGTGTTTATATCTAGTCATATTGTTCATTATTTCCGGAGTTGAATTACACTATAGAGACTAGGGTGAACCATAGACCATAGTGGTGCTGAGTATAGATATTTCCTATGATCAATACATATTTAAGGAAATCCCTTCATTCACGATATTGACATATTTGGTTACCACTATGGACATATACATACGTTTATAATACATTAGAAAATATAATTTACTCATTCTATCATTATGAACATATTTAAGTTAAACAGTTAACAATATATTATTATGATAATATGTAGGTACGAATACGTAATTAAAATTATTGTATAAGATTGTTCAAGTGCTTCAAATTTCATTCCATTATTCGAGCAAACGCCACTATCCGAAATTGTTAAGAATGTTACGACGCTATTAATAGTTGTCTACAACAAGTATTATTTTTCAGTTCCTACTACCTATGATATCATTTTTTTAATATGCGCATTAAAATTTTAAACCTAGACCGTTTCGTAGATTCATTCGTTGTTATATCAAGTCATTTTTCTCGGAACAATTTCAAAGTATGTCAGATAAATTATTCAATGGTTATTTGATTGGAAATTATTATAAATTATTAAATTATTGTATTCATCTTATAATAGCCAAAATATTAAAAAAAAGTATCTATGTGGCTATGTTATTCAACCTAACGATTTTATATAAATTGACTACTGAGCGTTGAATCTAATGAAGTGTATAGAAATGACATCATAGGTATGTGATGCGTGCAGTATACACATTAGCTATACTGTGTATAGTTACCCAAGTATTATAATATAAGTTTATGTATATCTTCTAAAACTTTAATACAACCGTTAATAAATCAATATAGATAATGTAGAAGTTAAATAAATCTTATAGTATCATACAATAACAAAAAAAAAAAAAAACAGTTAATAACACAACGATACTAAAAATGTTTAACGTAAATAATGTAGAAATACTAAACATATACCTAAGACTTAAGTATATAACTATAGTGTACGTGTTCACATTCGCCTCTTCTATTCATTACAACGATGCATTCATACGATGACATCAGCTCTTCTGGCAACATGCCACTTGTTATTTTTATTACTGTTTAACAACTATAGAGGAAGCGGTAGAAAGTAAATAGTTTATAGATTTAAATAATTTAATATTATTTTGTTTTCGCTGAATTAAAACAATATTTACAATTTACCCAACTAATGATCATGAATTAATGTAAATATAGTGTGTCCCAAAAGTTTCGTATTACCCTAAGTATCTCCATAAAACCGTGCAGACATATCAAATTCATAAGAAAATTTAAACTTTATGGCATAGATTTTTTTTCTCCATATGATACATTAGAGATGTACGTTACTTTTATATTTATTTAGTAGTATAAAAGTTTAAAATTTTAAAACACACTAATTCCAAAAAAATGTTATTTAATTTTTAAAATACACACTATAAAATGTTGTATACAATAAGAAATATGAAAAAAAATTAATATTATTTGACCTATATGAAAAATGAAGTTACTCTGTTATTTACTTACACCACTTATACACTTTATATCTTTTAATTAATTTCCAAGATTTAAACTTAAACATAAGTTTTTATGTTGTTTATAGTTTGTCATAAAGAATTTCCTAAAAATAATTAAAATAATTAATTATTTCTTTTGTTGATTAGAAAATATTGACAAAATATTTGAAGAAATGAATGGTATTTGATTAGATTTCTACATGCCTAGACTATATAAAGAGTTTTAAAAACTTAAAAATAATTAAGAAAAATGTATAATACAGGTATGAATAGGATATATACTTTAAAAACAGTACAGTTTACAATTGATTTTAATAATATATTATACATACCTACGAATTAAACCTTTCAATTCTTTAAGTTATAAATGTTACAAATTATAATACTTAAAGTTTAAACAATGCATAAATTCATAAATAATACGTAGCTGGTACTAATCGTTACATATTCTTTTATTAGTATATATCCTCTTAATTAACACACTTTATAATTTTAAGTTTGTCTTAGTAAATGTAACTTACAATTTTATAAAAGCTGTGTTACTTACTAACTATATTTTAATAAGTCACTTTTTTTTAACCTTAATTAGTTTGATAAAAAACTCATATAATTAAATTTAATAATAAGTACTTTAATATAATTAAATGTTTTACTTCAATATTGTAAATTATAATAATATTTTTATAAAAAATGTTAACTGTACACATAGATAAAAGATGCTTGCATAGTTGTATAGAATATTAACAACAAATAAAATTATGTTATCTTATTTGTGTTTTTCTCATAATATATAAAATATACCTACGTCTATTACGTTCAGTAGATTGTATAGTGAATAATACAGTTCTCGGGCTGTATATTACTACCATAGGTTACGCGTACTCTTGAGTAATCTGTTTGACTATCATACACATTAAAATGTAATTTTGAATTAAATGTTACGAAATTATTTCTATATTATTATGACCGTGCACGGTTGTATTATTGTCATTACTCCGTTATGTGTAGAAGTTATATTGTTTCACTCAAACACTGAGATCGGAATTTGGATGGCTCTTGAAAACGACAACAACATAATAATATAATGTCGATAAAATAATAATATATAATATATCATACACAATTATTGTTGCATTATATAATAATGCCAACAGTATATAATTAACAGTCGTATATATAATAAAATATTACACATTTTGTTGTTGTTTTTAAAACGGATTTAATCATCATTAATGTTATAATAATGTGAACACCGAACAAAATATAAAAAAAAAAAATGTTGTTGCCACGTTCATGTACCATATGGCATATAAGGTACAGGTATATAATAATATTCCTATACAAACTATAAGTAATATTTCGTTTCTTTACAATTATAATAATAATTATAATAAAAATTTACAATATCAGACTTCGTGTTGTATTATTTACCTAATCTACTAATAAATATTGTTCAGAGATAATAAAGTTCGAAGTTGATCAGTTAATGATATTGCACGTCATTACACCAATCATATTAACAAAACATGAATGCTCTCTAATATACGGACGATATTATATGCACTAAATTAAGACAGTACAGTACATCTCCGTTACGTAATGATAATTATGCGTGTTGTGGTTATTATAATGCATGGCAATGGCGTACCACGTGTACCTATACGGCTTTATACTCGTATGTAAAAAAAAAAACAATATAAAATGATCATAAAAACAGTAGTGCGTAATAATTATTATCGAAGTCAAGTCACTATAACGAAGTGCATATCGGAGATTTATAGCCGGGGATGGAGAGGAACCCTGTGTGAAACACCGTTTGATCGGGCATTGTGTTCGCCGTTAGCATCAGGAGTTTTTCGGCCGCCAGCGGATGCCAAATCCCAAATGTGCACGTCACGTCGACTTTTTCGTGATAGTAATGACATCGGTGTGTCATTCTTTCAGACGGTATGAACTCGAACATGTTAACGACCGTGCACCGCGGCAACAGCATTGCTAATCCTATCAAAATCGTCGAAAATAATATATTATAATATATCGGATATCCATATAGGTATTAGGTGTGCATATTTATGTGTGTATTATACATAGGTTGGTTCAGTTGGTTGTGCCGTAGGTGTAATGATACGCTACCGCGTACGTGTTTGTAGCGTTATATCAGTATAATTAACATACAGGTTCACACTCTTTTTATTACTGTATTAGTATACTATACGTGTATACAGAGTATAACTTGAGGATTCGACGATTTTATGTTGAAATTAGAACTATAAAGTATATACCTATCGTATCTTTTTGGGTCTGTAAATGGTGTATATATTATTATTATATTTTAGAGATTATGTCACAATGTAAACATTTGGTGTATAATTGCAGGCTATTGTGTTTTTATAATGAACCTATTATTTGAAAGCTACATCAGAGGTTTAAATATATATATATATTTTTGTACTGAGCACATTTTATATTAGGCCAGGGGTTTCCAAACTTTTTTTTTATTCAAGGGCCATATAAAAATAATTATAAGTTCTTAGTAAGCCAAAAATATATATACCCGTGTCATTTTTAATTGTAAAATGCATATTAAATTATGATACAGCTATATGTATCATGTATGTATGATGTTTGACACGTCATGATGAGTGAATGCAGTTAAGTATTTGTATATTATACATTTTTTAAATTATTCATCGTCGTTTGAAGGATTGAATAAGACTATTCGTTACCATGGTAGTGCAGGTATCTGCACCATTACATACACGGTGTAGGGAGGTTTGTTTCCCACACCTCTAATCTTATACAAATTACGCAGTTTAAGTATAAATATATAATCTCAGGAAACCAATCAATAAATATTTTTTTAAATATATTAAAAAATACTTAAAGTACCTATTTTTTAATATTATTATATTCAAATTCCATAGTGAAGTAGAAAACAAATCATATAACTATAAAATACGATTTTTAGTTTTACATTATATTACATAGATACCTAGTTAATCTGCGTAAATATGGCTTACCTATGTCATGTCTATTATTATATCAGCGAATGTTACTATATATGTGTTATATAAAACATAAATAATGAATCATGTATTTATAATATTTTACCTAAAAATCCCGAAGATGGAGGATTGCGTCTTATATGAGCTGTAGTATGATCTTGTATGTAATCCCACAGACGCCACAAATATTGAGGATGAACAATATGAAAGTTTGACCTCGGATTAGATTTTCTAAACAATATGTAGTTGTTTATAAAGTTATGTTCGGGGTTCTTAATCCACTAAAAGTAAACAAACAGAAATTTAAATCAAAGAACAAGTCGATTTAACTAACTTAACATATTATGTAGTCTCGTTAATGTATAATTGATTACTTCATTAATTGACGATGTGTAATTTGATGGATCCCACATCAAAAGTTTGAGCCGCTTGTATAATGGTGATGATACAAATTGAAATTGTGGTTTAGTGACAACTTGTGAGTTTAAAATACGTATTGTTGTCTTTGAGCCAACATCTTTTTCATATCCTTTTGTTGGAGCGTTATTGAACCGTAACACCAAGTCATGTTGGTCTAAAACACGAAAATTAAAATTTTATACATTACATTATACTAATATGCATATTATATATATTTTATATGATACAAATTATCAAATGATTAATTAAAAAAAAACTATTTTTGAAATATAAAAAAAATGAATAAATCATATTATTATATCATACATTTTATAACCAGTCTAGTTATGATACTTAAGTTTTTAAATATTTTTAAATAATTTCAAAGGTCAAATTAAAACAGCAAAATAAATAAATAAATATGTTGATCAATAAGTGTTTTGGAATGAGTATTTGATAATTATATCAAATATACTTCAATTACCTTTTTTAGAAATTTATATGTAGTCTCCTTGTAGCTAGGTACAATTTCAAAAGTATCTTTTAAAAAACTATTTATTACCCACGTAAAAAAATTAGCTCATAATTTCAACCTAACCTTACCTTCGTGTAGATGCTTTTATTAATATATTGTTGTTATCTATATTAGTATTCATTACGTAATTTTGATAGATGCATTCGATTTTTATTTATACATGCAGACGTGTGTGCATTATTAATGACAAAACAAATTTGACAACCTATTTGTTATATTTTATGTCTATATTATTATGTATGATTTGTCAATAAAAAATGTGTCACATTTTTCACCTATAAAGTATCCGAGATTTGAATTTCGAAGTGTAGCCGCATTGGATATGATTGCACAAGTGCCGAATACTTCGTTATCATCGAATAGCGGCACATCCGGAATATTTTTGGTCAAAAAATGATCAATGTCATTTTTTTCTAATGTTCTAAAGTTCTCCACTCTAGAAGCCATATTGCACGTCCAGTCACTTTTTACGTTATTCGTTGCTTGCGGTCTATATGGAACATTGTAAGGGTTCTCATTTTTAACGGAGCCATAATTGCTACTCTCCTTCATTATTACTTGCCTTAGACGAGCAATAATTTTATTTTTGAAATTAAATAACCTGTAATAATATATACACATTAAGTCAGTAATTTATACGGATATTTATACTATATATTATTATATTATATAATACAACTATAAACTTTTACTTAGAATATAATTGCCATTAATACAATAACAGACGCTTATTTACTTACACACGCGATGTTTGAAAAAATATAACAGTTTTTATATTTTTAAGAATGTATTTTATACATACCAATTTAATTTATATTGTAATTATATTTAAATATAGGTAGTCTGCGTTGTTGTTTAAAAAATGTACCACAAAAATAATGGGTTTAGCTGTTTAATATTTTAAACGACCATTATTTACATTGGATTATGATTCAAACAAAATATTATTATTTAAATAAAATATTATTTATTTATAATCTTATTCAGATAACTATTGCGTTAGTAATCTAATGGTTACCTAAGATATAAAATTTTCATATCTAAGTATTAAATATTCATTTCTCATAAAGATTATTTAATCGACATGTGTAAATACCTAGTATCTACCCATTTTCTAATAGAAATTTAAAAAAAAGACGTAATTAAACAACATTTGGACTTTTTTGATATACTACTTAGGTATATAGAAAAACTACTGAAAACTTAATTAAAAATGGTATTATAACAAGATTTTATCAATTTTGAGTTCATTGTTATTTTTTTTTAATCACAAAAATAATGATTCCTATAAATCTATAAATTTACAGTTATATAATATGAATTATAATATATATATATATATACATACAGATGATTTTAGATTTTTTTAAATTATTTTGCAGTTTTGTGCTATTTATTCAAATTTTAGATTTTGATATTTTTAAGAGACGCCATATTCGAATTTGTTGTTTTCGTCTTACAAATTTATAATATAGAACATTTTCGTTCAGTTGAACCATTTTGTTGTTCGTTTGTTTTAAAGTATTAGACTAATTTGACATATTTATTGTCAAAAGTTTAAGATAAGAACATTATCTGCATTCTCTTATTGGTTTTTACGATATTTTAATTTTTGAGTTATGAGTATGTTAAATATTAAAATATAAAAAGGTTGAACATTAATATGAACTTTTGAAATACCTAGTTAATTTGGTACTTTATTATTTTAAGACTTAAAAAATTTTAATATAACGTGAAAAGTATATCATTTTAATTAAATAATATAATAATATCAAAAATGTTTATTGTAAAAATTCAATAAAGAAATATGTAAATGATGTAATTTATATTTTTTTAAGAGTTTCGAATATTGAGTAATAAGTTTGTAACTTCCCATTTTATATAAAACCAGTCCAATATAGCTTAAAAATTAACTTGTAATTTTTATTAAGTAATTTTGAAATTTGATTTATATAGTCAATTATATATTTATTGTAAAAAAAATGTTTGATTGTTTAATATTTTATTCAGAAATATTTTGAAATAACTTTTAATATTAGTTATACTTGTATAATTAATAGTGGAAATATTACTATATACTGTGTTACAGTTAAACGTCGACAAGAAAATTCGGTATAAATGTCGACTACTTAAAATAAAAGTCATTAAGAATGTAAAACAATCCTATTTGGTAAAAGTGTTAATGTTTATTTTTGTGAAATTACCTATTGCGCTTTACGTCGACTATTACACTCTGCAGTATATGTATAATGTATATACTGGAAATCCATATAAATAAATGTATATTATGTTCATTCACAATAGTTAATTTCGTTACATTCCTGCTGCGCCCTTTTAATTAAAAATTATAATTTAAATTCAAACACTTAAATGTATATTCAAAATTACCATTTAACGCTTTTGTAATTCATTTAATATACATTTCGATTAAATTTCAAATTATCTCCTACTGCACATATAATTTTATTTTTTGGTGAAATCTATTTACATAAATAGTATAAATAAATATAGACACCTACAGCTTTTGCTTTATTGCTTTCTCGTACACCATAATCATCATACAATCTATTTTCCTGTCAATCATGTACATATAAGTAATATACAAACATATCATAAATATATGTAGTATAAATTATATAAATAGGCGTGTTCATACTGAAATCATGCTTTACTTCTCTGGTTGAAACCAAGCCTGTACATTTTAATTAACTCACAACTTTTTCCGTTTTTTTTTTTTTTTTTTTGGCGTGGTGAGCAAACTGATTTTGTATATCAGTATACGTATATCCCTAACAATTATACTTGGACCAGATCTGTGAAATAGTTTCAACTCCTAAATATGCTTCTATGCGTATACCATAAAATTGTATACAACATTTATGTTACCTGCCTGATTTTTTCCGTCTTGTCTAGAAGAGCTTCACTAATCCGCATTAATGGATTTCCATTTTTCTGATGAGTGGTTGTGAGATCGCCTTCGTCATAATACTCGACGTAAGGCTGCTGTTGTGTGTAGGTCAATTCTTGAGTTGGTTGGTTTCTGATGCTTATGTGACGCCAATATTGTAGCCAAAGTAGATAAATGTATCCGCACATTCCCAAAAGTACGACGTTTAAGAAAAACCATACTGTCAGTGCAACCGAACGCATTTCGATTAAATATTAGTGGTTCGATTGTCTGAAAATATAATTGATAAAATATATAAGACTGATTATAGTGGCCAGACATGAATCCAGTGTAAAAATTAACGAAGATGGGGATCATTCATTTAAATTTACTCAACATAAATATATTCAATTTTGAACATTTTTATACATTTTATTGGAGAGTATTAAATATCTATTGGTTGCGTTGATTCTGTTACATTATCATTTGGAAATATTGTAATAAATTATAGATATACAAAAAATAAGTAAAAAACTTAATAAATAAAAATATAATTTTATAATTTTAAAATTTTCTTATTTTTATACACATTAAGATTCTGAGTAAAGTTATAAATGTATTGGTTTTACAGAAAACGTGTATTTTTGTTACTATTATTTTTTTGTATTTTTATACCTCTATCTAGTAAAAATAGTAATACTCCAATGTTCCACTTTGATATGGAGGTTTCTGGTATAGAAAATTGAATCTAATACGTATAATTTTGGTGGTCAAAAGTACGAGTAAAAATTTCCCATTAGTGATTTTACTTATTTAAATAATCTTAGAAAAAAAGATATCATTTTTATAAATTTTTATAAAAATAATTGTTTAGTATCCGCACTTATCAAAAAGATATATAATTTTTACGGAACCTTTTTTTTATCATTCAATTCAATATTCAAATTTAACACATTTATTAATGTGACTTACTTAATTACGGCTTACCTATCTAACATTTGACACTTATTGTACAGTATATAATGATGGATATCTATTTGTTCGCTTTTTTTTAAATGTTTTTATTTAAAAAGCTATAGCTGTAATTAAATTATTAGTATAAATATTTCTTTAGAAACATGCGGAATTGTTTATGTACGCAATGTGAACTTTGGAAGGAGGGGCTTGATCTCTTTTGCAGTCATCCTTGTTATTTGGTAAACTATTGTGGCATGAGTGCTTTTGAAAATAACAAAGTTGAGTTATAGGTATTACGTGGAGTATTGTCTAATTTTGTTTCATATTCAATGCAGAAATAATTGATTAATGTTTCAATTTGTTATATTACCATCGCAATGGTACAATTACAATAATTAAATAAATAATGAGTAATATAATATTATAATATCTACCTATATTATTACGTCGTAATACTCGTAATAGTACCCACATCATAATTTATTTTCTATAAAATGAATACTTTTCTTCAAAATAAGTTTTTATTCAGTATGTAGTAATAATTTTTATAAATTTTCACTATATTTTATATATCTTTTAATTATGTTCATAAAAAAAAAAAAAAAAATGAACCTTACAAACCGATGAATTTGCACAATACCTATGCAATAAATAGTTGAATTCATCTATTAGATATTCAAATTTCGTGTAAGTATTGTAGTATAGATTGGAAAATGTGTATAAAATACAAAAATATTTATTGAATACCTATTATAGTAGTTATATATAAATACAATTAGATATGTATACTATTAACAAATAAAGCTTATTGTACAACTTTACAAAATAAGTAGTTTAACACACTACGAATAACTTTTGATACCCAATAATATAGTATTTTATAAAAAAATAAAAATATTAGACAATATTATTTGTTATACAAATAGGTAAGTATTACAAACATTACGTAAAAGGTTGATAATCACTTATCATTAAGAAGTATAAATCTATATAGTTATTAAAAATTATGATAAGTGACATTCGGTAGACTTAAAATTATTATATCATTTTTTGTATATGTTTGAAATAATATGAACTCGTTACAGATTAAAATTAAACTTATAATTTATAAAATCGCAATTTTTTCAATCACATGAATAATTATTTATTTATTTTTACCTTAATATTAATTAAATAATTCTCGATTGTTTATTTACGTAAAAATAGTTTAAAAACATTTGGTTAAATCTTATGTTGTTTAAAAATAATTTATGAACATCGAACAAAATCACAATACATCTTACAAAAAAATATTTTGTTTTGATCAAAGCATGCTTTATTCAACTCCGGTTAACTTATCAGAATAATCGTGGTTCTAGACTTCTAGAGTATAATTAAATTAATGTATCGATGCGTCTGAGTATTTACCTGGTCATCTGGCTACCTATATTTAACTACGATAGTACCTACACAGCATTAGATCACGTTGTGAAGTCAAGACCAGCTAGAAATGAATAGTTTGAAATCTATAAATTGTTACTGATCAATCAATAAAAAATGTAAATACAAGTATGTACAACAATAACAATGTTTGTCGATATTTATATAGAAATTGCGTAGTATACGGGAACCAATAAATGGTTTTTAAAAATATTTTAGAAGGAACTTTCAGAATATTATGACGACGAATTTGCGAGTCAAGTTCTTAAAGCCGTACAACATAAACGTAGAATTCCTGCAATAACTATTTTTCTAATTACATTTATCTCACGGCACCGCGTGTACGCATAATAATAATTGTATTATAATCTCATGGATATTAATATTATCAGAAAGTGTTAATAGTGTAATTACACCTACCTCCTGTACCATGCACATCAATGTACACATAAATCACACGTGAATTAATTGGCAATTAATTGCTGATACACATATATATATATATTATATACGTATACATAGCGTACGGACGACGTGACTTCAATATGATATTATGGAATTCACACGTTTTTCTATGTAAAATAATAATAATTCCACGTTGGTTCGCGATATTAAAGCACTGTGTTCGGATGCGGTAGTCGTGCGTATGATAAGTCGGAAAACGCTTTCTATCGTGGTGAGGTTGTGTAGCACAGCATCATCGCGTAGAGTACGCAGGATCAATAAACCGTACTTGCGCCATCCGAAACGCGCATCTGACATTGCATGCAAGCGGCTTTCAAGCGCACATATACGCAATGGTATATTATAAAATAGGGGAGAAGAAATAATAAATGAATTTATTATTTATTCACGTAACAGTGACAACGCCATTATTAATATGCATACCATACAGGTATACCTACCACCGGTATAATACTGCCGGCTCGTATTTAATATACGTACATAGGTATATGCACACATCCACTATAAAAATACAACAAAAAGAGGTACACTGCAATTAATTAACATAGGTACGTCAGAATCGCTTAACAATAATTAATGTCAAACAGTAATAGTTGCCATTTCAATTAAAATTATGAAATATTTTGTTATTATGTTTTTATATACGTACCTATGTGTTGAATAATATATGTATAGCATAATAAATCGTTTTCAAAATCTTTACAACAATATCGTCCCGTCAATAAAAAAATTTCCTTTTTATAGCATAAATATTCTTTCTTTAAGATTATAGTTGTATAATAGTTTTAAAATACTACATTTTTAGAATCAAAATATTTTACTACTACTTGACAAAATTTTTTTATTGTAGAAAAAATACCGTGATTTGTAAAATAACGTTAATTTAACAGACAATTTTTTTTTTTTATTATTTACACCGAAAAAAAGATATTTTTATTAAAAACATTTTATTTACACATGAATGAAAATTTATTTTTATATAAATATATCATATTATATAACTACGTAGTTATATAATATACGTTCATGTTAGTTTGAATATCTATAAAAACAATTTTTTTTTTAAATACTGTCATCGTTTGTCAGTAATAAATTATAGCTTATTATAAATGTATATATGTATATGTAGGTATTATATTTTTTTATGTTACATTTTAGAGTAAGAAAAGTTAATGAATATATTCAAAGGCATTTACATATATGGTTTTTACATTTCATGAATATATGCATTATATTATTTGTCGTAGTCAGTAAATTTAAACAAATGATGCTGCATACATTAAACAGGAAATTAAAGTGATTCATTTAGAACACAAATAATAAGTAAATCTGTATTAATGGTTCAAAAATAAACTTAAATAGCTACATATGCATTTCATTTTACAAACAATTGAAATTTTTCAGGTTGGCAGGTCGTACAAAATGTAGAAATAATGGAGCTTAAGTATAGACTTTAATAAGTCGATAGGAGTAAGAGCACAAAGGTTGTCGATTGCGTATTATTTATCCAAAAATAGAAATGTCTTTAAAGAACAAAATACTGTGAGTTATTTGCGACATATTAATAAATGAAAACAAACTGGGATGCTGGGGTAGAAAAAAAAAACCAAAATTCCGGAAGATGAGAAGATGACAGGAGTACTGAAGATAACTAGCTTTGTGAAGTACAGGTGCATGTTCAGACATGCATGTGACAGGGAGGTCAAACTCAGCGAACATCAAAGCGGCAATCGGGTGGAAATCAACTGAAAAGAGATCAAGAGGATATACAAAGGAGCGATGGATGGATGGAATAAAGCATGACAGAGAAGTTAGAAATATTATAATTATTAATTTAGCAAAGGAGTGAGTGACGTAGAAAGAAATGGAACTGTGGAAGACAGGGGCGGCCAAAACTCTTGAATATAGTTGCATGTGATGGCAAGAAGGAAGAAAAACATTAAGTTGTATACTTGTATCATTCTACATAGCCTATCGTATCCTATGGTTAAGTATTAAATTTCGATAGGTATGTAAGTTTAGTGGGCATCACTGTATACTGCAATTGCTTGTATCTATGACTACTAACGGAATTTGTGTGACTCAAGTAACCAAATTTAAAACAAATATATTAAAATAGGTTCTGCAGATGTTGGATTACACAAGCCCATAGAAAATTTATAAAATTTCCATAGAAATTATAATTTTGATGACAAATCAAGTCGAGTTCTTATATTTTCTTGTTAATATAATAGTATCTCTATAAGTATAGGTAAATTATGCTATATAATTCTACATAATAGCTATCTAAACTTCCGTAATACCAAACGTTTTAAGCATATTTTTTAATCATGTGGAAAAATATTTTTTATACTTACAACATAGATGATAATATTTTATTATTACTTAACAATCAAATATATCAAATATTGTGTTATAATACACGAATAAACTAAACTCGCAACTAAATTAGCTTCAACTCGTCCTATAATTTTTTGAATGAAATACGGTAGTAATAGATGGACCACGAGGACAGGTAGGACAGGTTGGGTTAAATTTGAATTATTAAGTTTCTGATTGGGTTTGTTTTGCCCCAAAATCGTCGATAATAAAATATTAAATCGGATTACCTAAAAAAACAAATTATTATTAACTGGTTTATCCGATTATATTTGTGTCATATTTTACTATCTTTAATGCATCGTCATCACCGTAACGAACTGAACTTATTTTATTATTTTCTCAACGGTATTGCACTGAAAACAATATTTACGAGTAATTAGATGCGATCATAATACAAATATTATAATATACATGTTACATATTATATTACAATTTACAGTAGGTTTTAGATATATACCTAGGTACGTTCCCTCTCGTGATAAATAAATACAAGTAACATTATTTAGTTTGGTCTGACACTTTATTATTATATATATATAAAGAAAACACGATTAATATATTTATTATTATAAAACAGTCTTAATCAACAAAATGTTCTGATGCTCAATGATGATGTAAATGGTGAGCAATAAAATGCGTATGTATAATAATACGATTTAATAATATAATTTAAGTATGATATAATATATAGATATAAGAAAATATTCATGTAAAGTGTTATTTATATTTTAAACCACGTTCAATAATAAGTTGCAAAGTCGATTGTTTATTGTATATTTCGTCATCGAATGTATAACATACGATAATATACACGTATCGGTTATTTTGGTTATAACTATTGATAATAGGTAATATTGTTTGTGTACGTAGTTAATTTTTGTGTATGATTTGTTATGGTATTTTTGTTTTTTTTTTTTGCATACAAGTACGGACAAGATCAGATATGGTCTCGTTATATCGGTGGCCCATTTCGATTATGAATAATAGGTATAATATATGTAAATATCAAATAAATAAAGCCGCTATATATGATTAGATATAATGTGATTACTTTGTATGATTAATATTGTTTCGAATTAGACCACCGAAATTTAAATGTTTGATTTAAATTGTTTAATATCATAAGTAATTTTATAATTATTAACTGTCTGTTATATTATAGTATCTGTATTATGTAATATTTCTTATGGTGACGAGCTGACAACTTCACTATGATCTCAATTAAAATATGTTTGCCGAGAAAAAAAAAATTAAAAAGCGTAGTAATTTATCAAGCGTTAGTTATATTTCACGAAGCTAATAATGCACGTTATTCTTCTTCCGCTTCGTTTTGATAGGTTATATAACGCACCGATGATTTTTCTCCGGTGACCAGCGACTGAAAAATATACAAAGTAGCATGCAATTAGTAAATCCTCGTGTACATGTATCATTGCTGATTGCGGTATGTTTAATATAAATGTGGTTAATAGTGAAAAAAAAGAAAGCCACCAAAAAAGTAATATAAATGTTAAAAATATGGTTATTTTTTTTTTTGTGTTTGAATTTTTTTGGTTAAAGTGTAAGTATAAATGATTATAATTTATAATGTATAAAAATATTAGAGTGTTACTATTTTGGAGAAAAAAAATGTTATAGCATACCGTCTAGATAGAAAGTATTATAATAATGTCTGAATTACTAATGTTGTTTAAAAGTATCAACAACAATTCTAATTTAAATATTGTTTTTACAATATTTTTATTTAAAAATACATACATAAAAGTTATTAAATATCTAATAAAAGGTATTGATTGTTTTTTATTATTGAAAATCTAACGGTTTTTTGTTACTTAAAAGCATTCAAGCACCTTAGTTTATGAAAATATGTTTAATAGTATCAAAAAAATATATATATAGGTAATTCAAATAAGCCATACAGAGAACATTAATACTGTTAATATTAAAAGCGTGTTATAATATTATTGTTTTTAGTTTTTTTAGTGAAGTTGTAAAATATTTTTTTTTCACTTACCCACAATTATAGGCAAATATTTTTATTTTTTTGTATTTATAATAACTAAATAAAAATAGTTAAATAAAAATATTTGATTTTTTTATAAATTATATTACGTATGACACCTATAATAATACAATATTATTTAATTTGAAATAATTCAATAGCAATAATAAATTCTGAAATAAAAAATATTATACTACACGTTAAAAAATCTCCAAATTACGAATACTTTGTCTTGTTTTGTGGAGGAATATTATCAAAATATAAAACATTTTACCATAATAATATTTTTTGTTTACTTTCAACAATTATTGTTATTAGGTACTTATGCGTTTTTATCAATCCTACTTTTATATACTAAGTTATGACGTAATTAAGATATATTTCTTTCATATTTTTATCCAACTTAAAAATTAAAAAATATCTATAAAATATAGTTATACATTTATAATTTATAATCAATATTCTTTGGAGATTTTAACTACTTAAAAGTACACTGTTTATAAATAATATTTTTAAATAGCTTATTGCGACGAAGAAATTGACAGTTGATACAAATATGCTTATCATAAAATCATAGTTAATACATTTTTTCTTTGATAACTAAATATTGAATATCATTCGCTTATTTAACTATTTAATATTTCAGAAGTTTTTACTTTTTTTTCTTCTTTCGTCGGTGGGCTGCGCAAGAAGTAGAGAAGTGGTGCATACAAGAAATTCAACATAGCCGTTCCAAATAACATCCATTCAAATCCAATTGTGTTCACCAATTTTCCGCTTAAAGCCGGTCCTGGTAAAAATAAATCGAATTCTCATTTCTCATAAACAAATTTTTTAAATTTAAATATTATCAACTATAACTAAAT